CGTAATACATTACAGTTGTAGGTGTTTGGCTATTTGCCATATAGTTTTCCACACACAGGAATAATTGCTTTCTTCAAACCATGATCGCAGAAAAGATGGCCTTTTAGTAACATATTTTACTATGAAACATTTATAATGTACTTTTAAATGTATAGTTTGATAACACAAACATTAAAAGAACATATTGCAGAGTAACCTCTTTGTTATAAAATTTGATTGACTGTTATATATTGCATGTAGGGGTTCCTAGATGTAACAAATATTTTAGCTATTTTTAACCCACAGAAGTGGAATGTTATTGACTAATTGTTTAAAAGAACTGATTGGCCTTATAATTTTATAAGTTGATAAAAAATTCTTTCCAGAATATATAGGTTGATCTCTTAATGGGATATTACATATTTTTATCATTTTTATTAATGAAATATAATTATAGCAAAATTGTATTCCATAGTTCATAGCAGAAAAAGAATTCTAGGGTCTATTTTAAGCAAAATCTATCAATCTAATAAGAAGGAATCGCAATAAAGAATCCTAATTCCTCTAGAAAGACCAGAGGTCTAAATAAAAACTGCAAACTAAACTTGCTTCCATTTCCTTTGGCCAAGTTATTTCCTTCACATTTTAACCCTGGGCTTTTTATTATAGCACATCATAAGTATATGTACTGCTATACTTTAACTCAGGGACGTTTTAACATATAGTCATTTAATATAATGTGTCAAAAATTGGCCTCCAATGCTGAAAGCAGGTATCTGAGGCCACTGTCAGCCAACTCAATCCCAGTGGTGAGTCTCCCTTCTCATCTCTCTTCCTCTGCCCTCCAGCCCCCTTTTTGTACTGGGGATTGAACACATGGGCATTTTACTACCCTGTTACATCCCCAGCCCTTTTTTATTTTGAGACAGGGTCTTGCTAAGTTGCTGAGGTTGTCCTCAAACTTGCACTCCTGCCTCAGCCTCCCTAGTCACAGGGATTGTAGGCAGGCACCACCACGTCTGTTCTCTTTCTCCTTTAAAAATACAGATAGGTGATATATTGAGGTGGGATTTTTTTTCTCTCTTCTTTACATAATCTTTTATTTCATTGGCCAATCAATGTAATGGCTAAAAGTAATTTACATAATTCATCCTCAATTTTTTCTCCATGTGCATTATTTCAGTAAATTCTCCTTAGGATTAACACGATCATTGGTCTCCAGAATATTCTATGCCATAAAAATTGTGGATGGTGTTATTGTGAAATTCATGAAAAATATTTTTCAGTTGGTCTGTACTGTCACAAAAGCCTGTAAGAAAAGACAGAAATGTGCTTTTGTGAGCAGCTGACCATACACTGAATGGAGAAAGCCCTGAGGCTCATGAGACACTTGCGTCCTAACTGCATTCCCTTCCCCAGGAGGAGAGTTGAGACTCACTTCTCTGTGAACAGGGGCGGAGGACTGCGACTGTGAGCATGGACCTGAAGTTGTTTCTAGTGTGCCTCTAAGCACATTGCCATCTCTCTACTTTCTCACTTTTGAGTTGACAACTCAAAGATTAAATAGGTTCTGTTCTTCCATCCTGGGCAGTGGGACCTCTCATCCAGTCTTCACAGTTGTCCGAAGGTATTTTGGCAGCTAGAGTTCATAATTGAGTTACGAGTTGCCACGAGATCCTTGGGACAACCGAGCTGCCAGCATCCCCCAGGCAGCCTTTCCCAGAAATACCCAGGTCCTTGGGGATCAGCAGCAAAGTACACTTAAACTTTCAAATTTCTTTATAGCCCAAACTAAAATTAAAATACATTTGTATTATTCCATATCAACAAATCAACACTTACTCACTGGTTAGATCACAGTTAGCCCAATGACCCTTTTATATGAAAATGTCCAACTGATCTTGACCCATAATACAGAGAAATAGCATTAAATTGGGTGTGAAGTGACACCTGTTCAAGGTCTTTTCATGAAATGGATTAATATTAGGATATGAACAGAAATGAATTTTGCATATGCTAAATAAAAATGTAATCTCTTAATCTCCTTCCTCCTCATAAAAATAGCAAAAGGTTTATTCAGCTATTCTCAAACCTTTTTGTCTCAGAACCCCATTAAACTCATAATGGTAACTGAAGACCTGAAAGAGCATTGGCTTAAGTGAATTCTATCTATTGTTACTTACTGTATTAGAAACTAATGAAAGGAACTTTAAAAGTACTTATTAGCTAATGAACCCACTGCCAATGTTAATCTAAATAACACATTTTTACAAAATAGAATTATTTTCCTAAACAAATTTAGTGAGAAGAATGGCGTTATTTGACAGGTTTGCAAATCTCTTTATACAATGTGGTCGTAGTCTCATAACTGCTTCTATATTCAATCTGTTTTGTATGTTCTTCAGATGAAGTATACGAAAAAAAAAATCTGGCCCTATGGAGATAAGTATTTGGAAAAGGGAAGAATATTTTATGTATTTTACAGTCTTTTCAGAAACTGTATATATTCTTCTTTGGCTTT